AATCCGTGCAAAGTTCATTGAAATAGAAAGCCATGCTGAAAAGTAATCCCCCAGGCAACTCTTTTCCATGGAAACAAAGTGAAAATTAATAGAGTGGGATTTACTTGCAAAATAAGGCAATTTCCAGATAAGTGCTAGAGCTGCTGCAGCGGAGGAGGGGATTAGCGACGGTCAAGTTGGGCTCCTATTAAGTGTCTGCAGGATGCAGGAATTCAGGAAGGGGATTCCTGGGGAGCAGGGGCAGCGGCCGGGGGTTCGGAGCAGGACCACTCCCCGGGCAGCTGCACAAGCTTGGGGAAGCAACTTTGTGCTCCCATCGCTGGGGCAAAGACTGAGACCCTCCTGCCGACCCAGAGGTTAAAGGCCCATCAGGGCGAGCAGGTCACGCAGAAATAACTAACCCCCCGAAGTTCGTTATCGGTTCAGTCTGCTCCCCTGTCTGCCCGGCACAAAGGCTGCCAGCTGGAGGCAACGCCTGACGGCAGCGGGAGACGGCAGATGCCCTCTTCCTCTCTGCAACTCTGCCATCCTGCAAACAGGCTGCTGCAACGCAATTCTTTTCTAAATGTTTGCTGGGTTTTTTTTTGGACTATGTGGTTAATTGTAACCCCTCCTGCCCAGATGCAGGCAGGCAGAGCGGCAGGTCCCGGGTGCCCTGCCCTGCCCTGGGAGCTGCAGCTGATGCCAGGCAGCACTGCCCCGCGATGGGGCTCACCTCCTCAAAGCCTCAGGGCTCTGATGAAAAATAACGACTTATTCTGGGGAGGGAAGTAGCTTTATGGAAATTCCCATATGCAAAAAAGAGTAAAACTCGAAATTTCTTGTTGTTTCAGAGGATTTTAAATGGTCCTTCCGGATTTTTACCTTCTGCCTCAAGGGCTTGTGCGAGGGAGCGGAGCCTGACCTGCAGCGCCCTGGGCAGCATCATGCGGGTTTGGACCATGGAGCAGGACCCCACGGGCCGAGCTCCTCACCACGGCGTCAGGTGGTGCAGAGGGGGGCACGGTGCCAGCGGGAGCATGGC